GTGATCATGAAAAGGTGATGGCAGAGTAACAGCCTGCATTGACCTGCAGTTGCAAGGCCGGCATCTTGCCCAATCCTGCACTTAGATGACTTTCACATGGAGGAGAACACGGTACTTGAGCCCTGTCTGCTCTGCCAGAAGAGAAGGCTTTAATCCTGTTACTGCATGGAACCAGCTGCTCTCTGGCAAGAACCAATATGATGTTATCTGCAATTAGCAGTCGCCTCCCCTGAGCCTGAATAGACTCCCTAAGGCAAAACAAGAACTTTCTCTCTCAGGGTGTCTTCTGTCATAAAATTTTGAGCTGAAAAACCCCAACTAGGTTGTTATGTGCATTCTGTTGCCATTGGGAGGGACCATGCACAGCCTGTTTGAGCACTTTGTACATTGCATTTTCAAACTCGAGAGCATCTGCTCCTCAAGTAATGGATCTAATTGAAAAAAAGTTTCTCTTTTAATATTTACAAGGGCATATGAGTGCATTCCTCCTCTACAAAATAGAAGTTAATGGTTCTCTCTTTTCAGATGTATATTTGATTACTCATTTTATATGTTTGTAAAGGGCTATGCACATAGTCTGAGATGTAATATTTGATTTCTAGGCCTCTGTCATAAACAGCACTTAGAGTCATTAGATATTTTCATTCAATAAAGAAGGCTAAAAAGGGATAACCTTAATGGATGCCCTGTCATATCTCATCCATCTTGAAAAATTTACATCTCATAGTAAACACAAAACCTCTAAACATGGCATGGTGCCTCACTGCCCTGAGCTTTCCTTTCAGCTGTGTAAACTGAAGTCATTCAGATTCTACAGATGCTACTCATAGCACCTTAAAAAGTGAAATCTCAGCCCTAGAACACCTGCCAAGAGAAGAGAACAAAATACTATGAGGAAAGACTGTAAAGGGATTCGGAAGTCTCAAATCCCTGAGAGAGCTATTATTAGATGACAGATTTAGATTTCATTTCTGCTAGAAAAAAATTCAGACATGGGGGACGCTTAGTCATTAGTAGCAAAGCAGGAAATAAATGTAGTGACTTTTACCACATACTCTATTTGAGATATAACAGATATTTTAACCAAAAACTGTTCTTGAATTAGAAGTACAAATCAATGTAGTCAAGAGAGGCTACTGGAAAGTATGCCAATTTATGTCTCAGGGGAAAAGTAAAAATTGTAACCTGTCCTAAAAATAATCATGAAGAAGCTAGATTGGCCAGCAGGCCTCACAGGATTAAATGAGTTGAACTCTGAGAGGAGACAGACCATGGTATGACTTGAGAATGTCTGGAGCATTTATTTTCTTTGGGAACATTCCAGTGAAAATTACAGAAAATAAGACATTAATCTCAGTTTTTCTTTCTGATTCTTTTTACCTCTTCTATTTATGTAATCTTTTTCTCCAATAGAAAATAAGCATGCGGAAAAAGGAATAAAGCAGCTTTAAAAAACAAATAGCTAAAAATGTTTAAGTTCATAGCAGCTAAAAACAATTTCATAAAAAAAACTGTCAGTTTCTGAGAAAAATTGTGTACCCTCTGCCGCTCTACTTATATGAAATCCAGCACTGATTTTTAGCAGTTACAGCAACCATTCATGAGACAAATATAATGGGCTTCCTTTTTCAATAGCAAGACACTGGAAGGGGGCTAATAGAAGGGACAAACTAACAGGAGGAGGGTGAGGACAGGGGAGTAACTCCATGGGTGGCAGGAATAGCAAAGCTTTATCCTGCAGCCAGATCACTAGCAGGCTCTCCTCTGTATTTTCGGTTGTTCTATAGAAATGATTTTATTTCATATAGAAATTGTTTTTTTTTCTTTCAGTCAAATGATGATGGAATCAGTCAACTACTTTAAAATATATTTCAGTAAAACAGTAATTGTCAGAAGCAGATATAGACAGTATAGAAAGTCCTCTTTTGGAGATCAGACTAGAAAAAAACCAGGCGAACTTTGTACAACAGTACACTTTCTACAAACCAGAAAGCTGTGAGCCACCACTTACTGCTTGGATGTGCTGCTTTGAAATGAAAATGCACGAGGGAAAGTTTGACAGCTAATTAAACTTTTTCCAAAATACACATGAAGAATTTTATGAAACAGGTCATATTTTTCTGACACTCCATCTTCCTGACAGCAGCTTTAATTTGAACGTGACCAATTCAGTAGCCAGAATGTGCTCCAGGATGCACATGTAAGTCTGCTGGGGGCACTGGTTTGAGGCTGAGTTCTCTTTTTGGCATTGCTTGTCTTGCAGCAGGATCTTCAGTAGATGTCACTTTTCATGTTTTTCTTTGCTTGGTTTTGTAATTTGTCACCTGATCTTCCTTGTCCACAAAGCCTGTAAAGTACCATAATGTTAATTATAACTTTAGGTGTACCTCAGGCATTGTGTTTTGTTGCTGTCTTTCATACTTCCTTTTAAGCAGGCAGGGTTTTTAACAGAGAATTGTATTTCTCTGAACTTTAGAGTTCACCTTATCATCTTTCCATGCTTTAGTGAAAGAATTAACCTAAAAGCCTAAAGACTGTACAAATACATATTTTGTTTGAAAATAAGAGCAATGAATAATGCATAATGCAAGCAGTGGTCACACTCTAGATGTACTTAGCAATAGTTGGGAATAAGAGTAATCAGCATGGGTCTTTGTAAATACTTGTAAGGAATTTCTGTCGATCCTGTAAAACATTCTTATTATATTTTCTACTCTCTGCACTCTAGTTCTTCTTTTTTCTTTTTTCCACAAGCATAATGATAAAACAGAAACTTGTTCAGAGGCAGAGATTTGTTCTTTAGCCCCTTTGACTAAATCACACTTCATATTGCAGAGAAGGAAAGTTTTTTTGTTTATTTTTGGGTTAGGCCAGAGCAGGTTTCTCTGGCTTTCTACTTGGAAATGACAGGATTCTCTTGTTCTTTTCTTCGTGTTTTCATTGGCAAGGTATTCCTTCTTATAATACTTCATTGGTGATAAGAAATCCTCTTCTGGTATGTAATACATTTAATAAAAGAACAGCTGAAGAGCAAAGCACCCTGTCACCTATGACTTCTTAAAACAGAGGAGGTCTGAAAACAGAGGTTTCAAAAGGAGCTAGTTTGAGTAAAACAGCCAGACCCAAGGAGTGTAAGCTGGAACGAGACCCTTGCCTACAATACTTTCTACCACATATCACCAGTGGTTTAAAAAACAAAAACAACAACAAAAATAGAAGAAGAAAAGGAACAGACAGCTTCATTTGCTAAATGCGTGAATAATTTGACTGTGAAACAGGGCAGAAGAACAACAAAGGCATTAATATGTTAGAAGAAGCTGCCTGATGCTGTTTTTTTAACCTTATGTAATGAAAATCCATGTAATTCATATGGGGCTGTTGTATAATTAGACCTCTGCACTGCCAGAAGTCTTTGATCTGTCAAAATTGGACAAACTTTCAATGAGCTTTCTTCCCAGTCATACCAATATGTTTAATACATACTGCAAATACATAAGTGACTCTGAAATTAATGCTTCCTATTTAATTATGTTGCTCCAAATTGTCAGAGGCAGATGTTGGTGGTACAGCAGTACAGGTTGACCCTTCCCATCAGTATTCCGTTATACCTTTTTCCTGTGCAACAGACAGAGATCTATATAGAAAAAACTGCAAATATATATGTGCTAAGGTTAAAAGCTTGTCCAAAATAGATTAAGAAGACAACAACCGAAACAACTTCCACCCGGTGGTTGTTAGCCTAGCTCTTGAAAAGTTCTGAAGACCTGCTGACAGACTGTTTCACCTGCAGTTTAACCTGATCAAGTGAAGAAGTTAGTGTTCCCTCTAAGGCACCAAGCAGGCATGAAATTTGTCTTTGAGAGCTCTCAGGTGCTCCAGAAGGCTTACCTTTTCACAATGCAACCAGTTTAGTTGGAGATCATTCAAAGAGTGACAGAATTAAATAGAATTACCCACTTAGGTAATTAATTAATTACTCTGCACTTGGAACTACTGAGGCAGCACCTTAAGTAGTAAGTTCAGTTTTGGGCCCCTCACTATAAGAAAGATATCAAGGCTCTGGAGCATATCCAGAGAACACCAATGATATTATGAAGGGTCAGGAGCTCAAGTCTTATTGAGAGCAGCTAAGGGAACTGGGATTGTTTCCTATGAGAAAAGGAGGCTCAAGGGACACCTTATCGCTCTACAGCTACCTAAAAGGAGGTTGTGTGAGGTGGGAATCAGCCTCTTCTCCCAAGTAACTAGTGATAGGGCAAGTTGCCCTAACTAGGGATTGGCAAGTTACACCAGAGAAGGCTCAGGTTGGATATTAGAAAAAATTTCTTCTGTGAAAGAGTGGTGAGGCACTGGAATGGACTACTGCCCAGAGAGGTGGTGGAGTCTCTGTGCCTGGAGATGTTCAAGAAAAGAGTAGGCATGAGACTAAGGTACACAGTTTTGTGGACATGGTGGTATTGGGTTGACAGTTGGACTGGATGATCTTAGAGGTATTTTCCAATCTTAATTCTATGGTTTTATGAAAAATAATGGTAAAGCTGTTTTTGTACTTCCCAAACATTCCACATGAGCTAGAAAGCAACTCCAAGACAAGATTAATGAAGAAAATTGTATTTGATTTTTAGGATGATTTTCTTTCTAACTTCCTTAGCTTGGAGAATTGTTCTTTGCCAAAGGACACTTCGTGTTCAACTGCAGCTCTAGATTGAGAATAAAAATCATTCAAAGTAAAATAAAACTTTATTTTTTTACACAAAATAGCTTTTTAGCAAAAGCTGTGTGAAGAATTTCCCTACCCATGGATCCTATTATTGTGATAACAAAGGAAGCCACATTGCAACTCTTCACACTGTCCTATCTACCAGAATTCTGCAATAGACAGTGCTCTTGAGTCTCCACAAGAGTTGATGAGAAGGCATTCAGATGTATGCACTGTCCCAAAACCTTCAGTTTGCCCTACAGTCCAAAAACAAAATCTAGCCCTCAATGAAATCCTTGGAATTCACAGACTGCTCACCTGTATGGGCAGTTCCTCAAAAACAAAACAAAACAAAAAACAACACCTTTTTCTCTTTTTCTGGGTATTTTTTTGTATTCTATTGATGTATTCAAGAATTCAGCACATAAAAGCACAGAACAAATTGCTCACTGGGCAAATGGGGTGATAAATTCAAATAGAATTCAGGTACAGATTTATGTGAACATAAGAAAGCTTGTAAAATATTAATTGAGCAAGAAGGACACCACAGAGAATTACCAAAGTACTACAAAAATTGAAAATTAAAGAAGATAGGTTCTGAAGCCAGCTGAAGAACTAGCAACACGGCTCATATCATGCTAATCTCTCTGGTTTCCATTTCGCATTCTTTTTGTTCATATATATGTAAACATGCAGACAGACAGACAGACATGCACATTGGTTAATCAGCTGAGATTTTCCAGATTTAGTTGAATACTTTTTATTTTAGCATTCTGATCTCTTGTAGTGTGAAAACATTCTCTGTTGAAATATCTGGAAAGAAAATTTCCAAAAAAGGTAGTATTACATCAGAGTGATGTATGTGTCAACAAAACTTCATAATCCTTGGTGTACATTGTGTGGTATATTAAAGTCAATCAATAAATAAAAAGACATCAGAAGAGGTTTCTTCTGGTTCTTATAGAACTCTTTCCTTACTTGAGTTTGAAGAAAATGACAACTAGGAGCATCACTGAAGAAGGAGATTTCAGCTGATCAGCTAGAGATCCATATTGCCCTAGGAGCTGCTTTGTTTCTTCCTCTTGACACTAGTATTCAAATGGCTGCATGTGTCAAGCCTTGCTTGAAAACCTAGCAACTTTTCAGAGATGATCTACTTGATCAACCAGGTGATCTGCCTCTCCGGAAGCTCTGATGCAAAAGAGCATAAGAAGCAATATTATGGTTAAACAATTATATCTTATTAAAAATGTGGTTATTTTGTAACTAGCCAAATTAACAGTAACCGGAACAACATTCCATACCAAGCTGTGAAGGAGACAAAGTTCACTCTAAGGTGTGCAAAGGGCTTCTTTTGGCCACTTGTTCTCTGGTTAGCTCTGCAGAGATAGGCACAAGTGGTCCATATAACAACAGGCATTCACTTATTCATATTTGGTTGCTTTTTGACATGTATAATAGTCAACCTGCAGAACTCAGCCTCAGATTAAAGGCAGTTTAGCATAGCACTGCATTTTTTTGCCTTGTTGAGTTGAACTCAGCATCAATTGAAGTCTCAATGATTGACTTAAGTAACAGATAGGAAGGAATAGAAAATAGAGAATGATACAGAACAGCAGTTCTACCAATCCTGCAAAGGATACACAGCTCATTTAGAAACAGGAGGCTCACACAGAAGCTCATTACCATCAAAAGAAGCTGTTCCCATGCCCACTGCTCATTAGCTATGCATTCTCACCATTTCTGCTGTCAGTACCTGCACTCTGGCTCTTCAGTGAGCCAGGCAAGGATGTTCAACCAGCAAAAGACCTCTCTTCCATTTCCTATTCCCACAAAGAGCATCTTTGGTATCATATCAATATTTCAGTCTTATTTTTTATTTTGGAAATTTCCCATTGAAATCAAAAGAAATTTTTATTCCTTCTTAAATGAATGAAGCTGAAAAACCAGACATTTGGAAGTACCTCATTAGCTTGGTAAGAAAAATCTTTATGCTTTGAAAGAAAAGAATCATCAAATATTGCTTCCATGTCTTTGTCCAAATCTAGATGACAAACTAAAAAGGCCTATAATATGTAATAGAATATATTCAACAACAGTAAATAGAGATACTTTGCACTTCTAGAGCCTACCATCATCTACAAATTGTTGCGCATTCATACATCTCTGTGGTTTATCCCTTTCCTTTTTATTAGAATGCACTGTTTCTTTGTTTTGTTTTTCATTAAAGATTATACATTTTAACACTTGAGAGAAGTAGGGAATTATTTACTTATTTCTTCTGGAAAACAGCTGCTTTGGGAGTTAGTTACTTTGCCTGAAGTTGCAAGATTTAGCCTAATTCACTCCCTGAATATTTTGTTGGGCATATAAGCTGTGACGTGGCAGACCTGCAGATTTGCTGAGCTATAGAGTCATCAAAGTAAATAAAGATTTGTACCATTCCACTGGTCTACTACTTTAGCCCCTTTACTTTGCCTGAAAGCTATTCTTTGTAACTTTTAACTCATAAGGGTAGTGTACACAGTAAGTTATTGGATAAAGACTCACAGGAGAACACCCATGACAATGAACTTGTCTACTACATCTGTGTTGCTACTGATATTTGATTTATCTAGTGTAGGGATAGTTTCTTCTGCATTAGACACAGTCACAGCAGTACTGGTAATATTCTCAAGGACATATGGAACACAGAAACATAGGTCAGCAAGGCAGCATGTGCCTGACCAAGTCAAGACCTCCAGTTGCAGGGAATTTATGCAGTATTTTTCTGTCTAGCTCAAAAGAGTTACATCTACTGCACACATGTCACAGGCCACAGAACACTGCCATAAATGTACCACAGAAAAGACAGCCTCAGTCATAATAGCCTCAGGAAGAGAACAAGAGAGTCAAGGGAATCAACATCTAGAACTTCATAAATGAAACTTCCAGTTAGCAATAGTGCAGAAAGAAGATAAAGACCTACAGTGAATCTGGGCTGGGCTCTCCCCAGCTCCACTGAAGGGTATTATTTGAAATAAAGAATAAGTTCTTACCTGCAGGTGAAGGTAGATGTCACCACAAACAAAATGTGAGTTTCATGTTTAGCTTCCTTTGTTTTCCATCTATACCTCTTTTCCAAGACAATCTGGACAGAAGAAAACGTTAGAGAGTCTCAGAGCCCCCTTTTATTTCAGTTCTGAGTACAGATATATTTATCACAGATACTCTTTCTAAAAAATAGTAATAAAAACAAGAGAAGCGTCTAAACTACTTACTAAAGGAAGTTTATGCTCATGTATGTCATCCTGTATTATCACAGCTCAGGCATTGCTCTGAGTCTTAGTGAAGCTCATGTGAGATCAGTTATAAATGGGAACTGTGTAGACCAAGTGACACAGTGTATCTGAGAAGAATCTGAGAGAATTCTGAAAATAAGATTCTTGGAAGAAAATGTGAATACGTTGGTGGAACTCTACAGAAAGCAACATATTCTTCCACAAAGAGTATGTCATTGCCAAGAACCATTTTTACCTTTCTTAAATGATCTCTTCATATAAATGTACTTCATATACATACATAAATAAATGTACTTTATATACATACTTCTTCATATAAATGTGTAAATGTACATATAAATGTAAAAGCTGTACTGTAAAGTGTTTTCACAAAAGAAACAAGTTTCTCTGTTTATGGTGCTCATTTTGCTCTAGGGGATGTAGAATCTTTAATCTCCTTTTATGTTTTGCAGCTTTTCAAATGTCTCTATCTTCCAAATTCTGATGGCTGAAACATGTTTAGAACAAGAACAGCTAAAACTGTAAAGACACATGCCTTTTCAAAAAGTCATGGCTAATGAGAGTTTTTTAAAATGAGTTACTCTGTGTTCTGTATTTTCTGGAGAACTGGTGGGAGGAAGGAATTACATACATTTGTGGTTGCTCGCTTCAGTTCCTCATTCTGCTTCTGAAATCCACTTCTATACCTTGTTGAACCAGTTGTTGTGAAAAAGCAGAGAACTGTAGCCCTTTGTGCTTTTATCAGTTGTGTCTTAACCCAAGCACAGAACAGTTTATCATGGAAACTACTCATCCAAATAGTTCCCACGAATATAAGTTCTGTCCATTTTTCACTTCACGTTTTCTTAGGTCTCCTCGCCTTGCCTTTATTGAAAACAGAGGATTAGCTGAAATTTTTCAACTGAAGCAATTCTGTGCAGGAAACATTAGCAATTCAGTTAAACAACTTCATTTATTTGTTATTTTAGATGGTGATTTTACACAGATTGTTTTACTTTTACATGATAGTAGAATACTCTCTCTTATTCATTTGAATGTCTCTGTTTCTTCCCTAGGATTCCTCAATGAAATGTGTCTATGCAGTGGCAAAGACTATAATGGAAAGAGACCATGGTGTAAGCAACAGATAAATTTTCTCCAATATAGACTCTACAAAAAGAGCACCCATCCATTCCAAGAGAGAAATACAGCAGTATTCATTTGAAATATATGGGTTATTTTCTGTGGCTTTTATCAATACTTACTCTACATTTTCACACTGTGAAATGACTCACTTTGAATATCAAGTGCAATGTTATGTGGTAAAATTATTTGGTATGGATGCTGTGATATATAGCCTAATTCATGTTTAAGAAACAAATGAAAGCTTTTAAACAAAATAAAGATCAATGACTAATAATAGTTAATGAATTAAAGCACATGACTAATTGATGTAGCTGTTAAAATTATAGTAACAGCTTATATCCAGTGCTTGCAAATTTGCAATATTGAACCAGGGTCAGTACTGTTGCCCTTAGAGATATTACATTATACAATGCCGAGAAAGCAGAATATAAAATTGTGAAAAAATTGAGAAATTGATACAAAACCAACCATAATCTTGTTAATTTCTGTAGTTTCTTAAATTGCTAGCATATTTCTGCCATAAATCAAGTCTTTTGCTGACAAAGATACGCATAATTGATGTCAGAGCAACACAGAGAATGTGCATTCCTATTACCTAAAATATTTGAGCAAAATGCTTCCTGCTTTTAATAAACTTAACTCAATAAACATCATCAAAAATGTACTGGATTTCTTTCATGTATACTATCCAAATGACAATGATGAGCAACATAAACTGCAAATACAGATGACAAAATAAGCTCGCTGTGCCTATTAAACTGAAAGCTTATGGAAGTATGCTAGTGAATTCACTATTTAATTGTGCGTCCACTTCAGCTTACATAGAGTATCTGAGAAAGCTTATGTCTACAGGAGTTTTTTCCAGAAGAGAACATTTATTACAGTTGTCTTGGCAACATGAGCACCACGGAAATATAAATCAGAGCTTAAGAAGATTTTGTTTTTAAACTCTGAAATAAAACAATAAAATTAAGAGCAGAACTTTATGATCTGGTCTCTGCTAAGTGCATGAAATGGCTAAATCCATTATACATTACAGTATTTCACCTTGCTTGGTGTTGCTGAAAGTATAGGTGGAGTTCAGCCTTAAACAGGAGAAAACATGTAGTGAGACAGCCACAAGCAAGCTACGTGTAGCCTATATTAATTCACAGAAAATGACATTAAACTTAGATGAATATGACCCTTGCAAAACTCTAAAATACTCTATCCCACTGTTGGAAAAACCAACCCTATAATCCTCACCTGACTGAGCCCAGCAGAAAGCTGAGTGCTTACAAGTCTGTCACATGGCTTAGAGCAGTTACTACTGTTGTTATTGTCTTAATATTAACATTTACTGAGAATCACGGACTTCGTATTAGGAGTCAAAGTCAAATAGCCTTTCTTCTCCTGTTAGGCTAAAAGGCTTGCCTACTGTCAACTGCAAAGGGAGAGTCCAGACAGTGTGCAACTTTAAGGAAAGTATTTAGCCTTTGTGAGCTGTCCCTGTTCCCGTCACTAGTTTTGGTACAATACACTGGAAATATCTTCTGAAAGCCAAGCAGCTGGCCAAAACATTTCAGACTAGCCAGCACGTAACCCTAATTTCAGCTGGAGGCAGAGGAGAAAGTACTGAACTAACCAAAAGACAAATTCATATCCAAGGATGACATAAAATGTGGATTTCAGCCTGGATTCAGATTTCAGGTGAGTTTTGTCTTCACTTTCCCAGGACCATGGGATGTCTTCCTGGACAGCAGCCACAATACTAGTCTAGAAAGACCAAAGATGTTTCTTTCTAAAGTCAGAAATAGCTAATAAATATACACGGTAAATAAACAGTTAAATCTAACTTCATATCAACCACTCATCAATCGAGTTGCAGCAGCAACAATAAGGACTGAATAAATGCCACTTATTGATGCCTTTGCCTTTAAAAATAAACTGGGCTTTGTGAACAAAACCATAAAAGCAGTAGTCAGAGACTGAATATCCTGTAATTCAGTGTGAATTTCAAAAATTTCAGTAAGACTTCTTTTCAGAACTTTTGCCCTTTCTTAATCCCATAAACTGATCTCTTCATAGCTGATGTTCTCAAAGTACTCCTGAGGCAATTGATAGATAAAACATAACATAGAAGCAGCACATCCGGACAGAAATCACTCAATGTCTCTGTAAATTTTTCCCCAAGAGGAAAAAAAGAAAAAATTCTCTATCTTTGGAAGTCTCTAAAAAAAAAAAAAAAAAAAATCCTCTATCTTTGGAAGTCCCTAACTTGTTCCTGTCAAGGTGAAAACGGGGTCTCCCTCCACTTTCTCTTGCTGTTCTTTCTTCTTCACCTCTGTTACATTCAGATGTAACAAAGCACCTCTATGCCAGCAGGGCAGACATACAACACACAACAGCAGTGATCTTGAAACTTGCTCATCTTCATTTCAGATCTAGTGAGAGAAGGGAGGGCCAGCCACAGGAAGGGGGCTTGAGTTTGTACAGGCACCAAGAATCACACAGTACTGCTGTGATAAAAGAAAATTGCTTCAGAGCATGACCCATTCAGCAGAACAAAGTCAAAGTACAGGAACCTAAAGAGGCTCTGCAAAGCAAGGAAGAATTCCCCAGCTTTAAACTATTTTTTTCATAAAGTTTATATGCTTTCAATCACACATGGGTGTAAGCCTGACTGTTGTCTGCTCACTTGGTAAGAATTTCCCTTGGCTGAACTTGGCTAAACTGCTATCTCTGATTCTTCTATGCTGCTCATTACTAAAGCATTCATTACAATGCATGATGCACTTTCCTTCAAAGGATGCCAGCAAAAAAAAAAAAAAAAAAAAAAAAAAAAAAAAAAAAAGTATGATGTGCCCCATTTTATTAATGGGTAAGAGACCAAATGCATTTAAAACTATATCTAGGATCTCTTAAGAAAACTGGGAGACTGAAGGAAAGAGCTCCATTCTTCTATATTTCCTTGTGCCCACACAAAATCTTCACTGCAAAGAAAGTTTTTTTTTTTTTTTAATTTAAATTTTGTAGTATTTTTTTCCTATTTGCTATGCATGTTTACAGTTTGAGTGACTCCTGATACCAACAGTAAAAAAGCAGAGGAAATGAAACCTAAGATATGCTTTTAACTTCTTGATATGTCTTGATAAGAATCTTCCTTATTTGTATTGGGACAGTTTGCAGTGCCAGCAAAGTTTAATTACTTTTGATTTAGAGAGATCGATGAGTAGAAACTAACTGCAAAGTTTTATTACCATTAGGCAAGGTATTTCTTATTGGCAGCGCTGAGGCAGCATCAAGATAACTCTCCAAGAGTGCTCCACAAGTTGATCGTTCGTGAGAAGGTTATATTTTCACAAATATTACATATTCATTATATTCCCGAAATCATTATCCTATCGATCCCCAGTGATTGCCCTACAGACAGCCCTATTTGTCGATCTTCACTGTCATCTAGCCGTCTAGCACGTTAATGGTCCACCGTCAGTCTATTGTTAGTCCTTGGGATGGCTGTTTACTTCTTCCCAGCACTCCTTTTGTCCCAGAGTTTGCTGTTGAATGCAAGGACAATCGAGAAGTTTCTTCTCATACAGATCAAGAAGACAAAATTGAACATCTTGATGCTGTCTGTCACGTTCTAGACATTCCATTTTTGTTTCTTTTGCCTTGTTTAAAGCAGATCAGCCTTATAACATGTCTCCCTATCTACTACTACATCATAATGATCGTCCTCAATATCTAAAGACTAGTGTAATGTTGCAAGCGTTAGCAGAATATATTGTGTAAATTACTTCTTCAAATCACCTTGAATCAAATTGAAGTGTGTTTAATGCTGGTGATTTGACTACCTCCAAATCTTTATCCCCTCTGATTCCTTGGAATGATCCTATTTGACACCAAATTAAGAAGAGCAAGTTGACTACTTGTGGCTGGGTTATGCAGATATTCTTAAACAGGCTGCAAGGTTTTCTTTTGTTTTGCATTTCAAAGGTGGAAGAGTGTATACTTACACAATGGAAGCAAAAGGGAAAATGATGTTCGGCTTTTAGTTGGAGAAGACAGATGCTGAATTTTCACAATTGCCTGCGATAATGTGTTTTCAAAAGATTCCAGTCTAAAAGCTGCTCTTTCACTTGCCATATTGCCCTCAGAGACAAGTTTCGCTCATGTCAGGGTTGAGCGATCTCAATATCTGAAATGGCAGCATGATGACAAGCACATAGGAGAGCGAGAAATAAAAGTACTCCCTCTTCATTTCAATCTCATTTCATTTGATGCTTGCTGGTGATCCTACTGTGGCAGAAAGCATTTTATTTCTGGCACAGAGTCTCTGGTTGGAGACTCAGAGCTGGAAGATTTAAAATGTGAAGTTTTCTTTTGATTGTCAACAGGTGCTTTTGCTTTATTAATGGAATCCAGTGCTCTTGTTGGAGGGTTTTCCATGCAGAGGAGTATGTAACTACTAAAAGAACTTTAATTTTCTTTATCTAAAACTTGTTCCTGGCTTCTAAGTTGTTAAAAAGAAAACCAAAGTGCAATATATGTATGCATTCTGTATCATCAAAACAGAGCTGGTATACACAACTAGGTCTTTCTTGATTTTAAGGTTGCAAAGTAAGCATGCAAAGAGAAAAGGGAGCAGCTTTTAGAAGGAAGAATTGTTATGACATGATGTTTACAAAACCTATCCCTCTTGGGCTGCATGTGGTTTCTTTCCAGATATTGTAATTCAGTTAACATTTTTTTCTTTCTAAATCCATTCAAACATCACAGTATAGCAAATAACATAAAACATCAGGTCTTACCATTAGAAAATCTGATTGAAAGTACACAAAGTGTAGTGTGGTGTGATAACTATAATCTACTAGAGCTGAAATTCAAAAGTACAAAGCTATTCTCCATCTGGGCAAATAGGTGTTTAAGGGATTTCTCAGCTCTTTCTAATTTTTCTTCCAGTTGTTTCCTGAATTTTTGAGATTCCATAAATCACACTTGATAGCATTTTAAAGTATACGCATACGAAGACACATTTTTAATTCCTTACAAATGCTGACTGATTTCCTACCCAAGTGACTGCTCTAAAAGCATGGGAAATTTTCAACTAGAATTCAACACAGTGTGGTCTGAAGTTCAGATTTGCTGTGTTTGCTATGTCAACCCATCAAGTGCTATAGAACGTTAAGTGCTCTGAAAAAAAAATCTTTTACTCTTGAATATATATCTAAAACTAGACTGTGAGATCTGGCAAACAGGTTTAGTGTGAATAACTGTGTTCCACATGCCTCCACCTGTAAATTTTGAACAGTATCATTCATTTTTATTTCAAGCGACAGTAGTAATCAAAATTAATACCAGCACACAGATTAGTTAATTTAGGGGTGAGTCCAAAGAAAAGACCATGAAGAAAGTAGCTACATTGCTACTTTGCCATCATAGCAAAGTAATGATACAGGTACAGAAAATGGCATAAATGAAGAACAGTTATACATCACTGCTGATTTACTGGGGAGAATCACTGTGAAATTAGTAATTTCTATTATACACTTATTTTAGACAGGTCTATTGGCTAATCTCTCTCAACACATATGCTAAAATCCACAGATAACAGCATTTCCCCACCTTTTTTTGGCTTCAGCACATTCTTGAAAACTACACCATTACCAAAGTCCTTGGCAAATAGAAGTCACACTGAAATTTTGCTCAGAATGACCAAGTTACAGAGAAAGGGCTTGTGTGGAGAATACGTAAAATATGTACTAATTATTCCATGGAGAATTAGTAAAACAAGAACCATGAAACCTTTTTCCCTATACAGCTATTTTGAGCTGGGACATGCATACAGCCTGTCAATTGTTTAGTCAAAATATGCTTTGCTCTTAGGACTTTGCTGCACATTTGTACAAAAGGGAATTTCAAGAATTGACTCTCTGAGAAGTTCCCAAGCCTATAGCACACACCGTTTCTGAATGTGCTTAATTAGGAAAAAAAATCTGAGTTTTTACCCTAAGTAATTTTGACTGCAAAGATGTTCACAAAAAATACTACAGCAGTGACTTTTAATTATCACATTCCTCTTTGTCTCTTACTCTCCCCTACCTCCACCAAGGCAAAGACTAAAAAATACCAGATATGATCAGAATTAGACTTGCGCTACTTAGCTTAGTTAACTTTCATACACACTGCAGCCCCGAAAAAGAGTGTAACAAGCTAATATTTGAGAGAGTTGTTAGGAAAAGTTGAAGAGATCTTAACTACCATTGTTCTGGATCCTTCAAGTAGAGGCTTCTGATTATCCCCTACCAATCAGGATTACACTGACTGGGAATAATGCTTTCCTGTTAATTATACTGTGCTTTACAAGGCATGAAAAGATGCTCTGCAAAACAGTGTTAACTTTGAATGTGAAATTAAAAATAGAATCTTAATATTTAATCAGCTTTCCAGTATTTCTAAAATTGTTTAAATAAAAGCTACATAATATTTGCCCCTTACATTCTAATGTATACTATATTCTGACACATTCTAAATACAATTAAGACATGACTGTAGCTCATGATAAGATATTTTGCTCAGCAGATATGAATCTGTCTCATTAAATACATACATTACTATGGACAGAAAGCTCATGTTAAAATCTCATTGGAATAACAATGTACACAATAAGACATCAGCATTAGTGTTTTTCTCATTATAGCTAATGACAAAACTTCATTGATTACAGCACTTCAGTGAGCATTTCTGCTTACTTTTACTGCAGGCCAAATGAAAGACCTGCAATGTCTGGAACCCTCAGTATTTTCCATTGCCACATCAACAGCTGCTAGCAAGTGCTCAGCCTTTAATCAAGTGCATGTTACTCTGCTGCTGTCCCCAGCCGGCCCACCCTGTGAGGTCACATCTGAAACATATACCTCTCGTTCTTTGAGTTGTCCTTCCCCCCTTCTGGTGACTAACCTCAGCACAGATTTATATCAACTCAAATGAAAGACGTGAGTGACAGCGATATCTAGGTGTAAATCTCCCTGCATATACCAATTTTGGGGTAGTAGATCAATTCAATAAATCAAGATTAATTACTGAAATACAAAATAATAAAGTCACCATCAGATTCAAGTAGACAATGTTTGTTTTAAATCGTATGATTCAAATGTTCTGTTTTAATTAGCTATAGTGCAAGGGTATTGAAGGAGAACAGATGATTCTTTTCTTATGTGCAGAAAAAAACTGCAAATGCTGCTTGCCATTCGTCATTTTTTGAAATAAAGATGCTTCAATTATTCTCCTTTTTTTTTTTTTTTTTTTGTGTGTTTTTGTTTTCTGTGGCTACAACGAATGAGATATTGGTTTTTGAGTTGGCTCATGTGCAGATATTGAACTCCAAAATCTATTTGTCACCATCAGTTCCTTTCCACACGTTTAAGCTTTTCCTCTTTTCCTCTTACTCAGATAAGATACCCGCAACATTATAGCCCACGTAACCACACACAGCTACAAGTAAAATAACATACATTCTTAAGAATCACTCTCCTTGAGGTAATTCCATAAATTGAAAAGCTCCTCAACTTCTACATGAAAACACAGAACAAGGATTTACCAGAGAGCCACCATTTGGGAACTCATGCAAACTGCCAGCTGATGGATACAGATGCACACTCCTTTGCTTCAGGTCATGGTCTGTATTAGCTGCTCTGAAGGAAGATGTGAGGAACTGACTACAGGCATGGGAAGCTGTGAGAAAAAATAATGCTGAGTACTTTCCAGGTACTGAGAATTAGTTTCAAACTTCTGGCTATGAAGATCACTATTTTTTTCATTTAGTTAGTTTTATCACATGAAGCCACTGATTAGGTCAAATTCCTCCTATCAATCCAAGTTTCCTGTGCCAAAGTTTCTGTACTTTTCTTACTTATTGCGCTAAGGGAAATAATCAAACTTTTGCCTTTTGTCCTGACTTTAGCCTCCATTTTTCTGTTGGAGAGGACAGTGAGATCATGATTACACTGGAATTATAAAGGATAAATCTGTTTGGTTTGTCTTCAGCCTGTACCATCTGCAGATATGGGTCATCACTTATAATGATGCCAGCTGCAGAGATGCTGAAGGCATCATGAGCCAAAGCGTGTATGAGGGGGAATTGACAAATTGACAAAGCTGTAAGATAAGATGCATTCATTATTCTTAATTACTCTATTTTAGTAAGGTATGTGTTCAGTACAATGAGACAGAGCAAGCAGTATCAGCAAACTTCAGCTACCTTAGAAAGAATATGTTAACAAAGACATTCACAGCTTTACCAATAAAGTCTGTAATGACAATGCACATTGCACAAAGACTTTTTATGCTGCAACAGGATAAAGACTTGAAGCTATTATCAAATTGACAAGGCTGCTGACACAAAGCAGGGCAGGCAGGCAACTATTATGGATGGCTATATCTCTCACATTATTCTGACATGATACCACTTCTTTTCCCTTTTGATGCCAAAGTGTAATTCTTATGAGCATTCTTATTAACTATGCAGAGTAGCATGTTAACTCAATGGATGCAGCTTACAAAGGGCTGGACTTACAGTGCTCTGTTCTTCTTAAGGGATAAATTTTATACAACCTGTATTTCTCTGCCTGGTATGCCATTAAATGTTTCTGCAGAAGTGAGAAAGCCTAACAACTGCACTGCACTCAGAGAGAATGAGGCAGCAGATCAAGACGCCTTGAGGACACGTGATGTAGGAAAGCCCACTTGCGGAGTTCAGCACTTCCACGTGAACGGACATAATGTCAGTATATCCTGACAGGTATGAGCTAGTAATGGGTAGGAAAAGAACTCCAAATGTTTATCACAGAGCAGTTTTCCTGTCAGAATACGTAGCTTTGAGAAGTAGGTTGCAAGGAAAATGTGTATTAGTTTCCAGAAAAAAAGGTAAAGAACTAATTAATACGTTTGCAAACACAGATTCGTCAGATATTGGCATCTTTTTTCACACAGACTCACTCCCTTCTTCCCTAGCGCCTTCACAGACACGCGTCTATGAATTTTATTCTTTCTTGCGACTGGGACTACTTTGCTAAGTATGCCAGACTTACAGCCAATCAGCAGTCACCCCTGGATTCAGGCTGTGTATGTACCAGTCCTGCACTCTGATAACATTGTGAGGAACAGGTAACATTGCATTACTGCATAAGCTACTCCATTTTAAATGCATTTTTCAACATGAAGATAAATAATTCCAGATCCTTTTTACAACTGAAATTAGCAGTTTTCTCTAAAAAAACCAAACATATCTTTATGTCTTATTCAGGGTAAGACTATTTCTCAGCTTAATGCCTGTGGTTTTTGTTTTGTTTTAAAGAAAAAAAAAAAAGAAGAAAAATTTCTGCTGAAAGAACTTAGATCATCTTTTCTCTCAGTGGTGATGCACCCAAAGCATTGACACTTTCATCAGTGGCTCATCAGCCTGCTCCAAACAACTCTGAAAGGCTTGCTAGTTTCTGGCGTGATAAAACCTTGTTTTGTTACCACATGAGCAGGATGCTCCTGTGTAACTTCACCGCCAACTAGAAAAAGGTTAGGCTTATTCATAGAAGCTTTCCTGGAGATTATTTCTACATTGACAGATTTATTTTACCTCCTGTATACAGATGTGAAATCACATTGGCTTTTGAAGGTCACTAAAAATAACTAAATAAAATGCAAATGTAGTGGATTTCTTTCACCCTTTCTCCTTAAAATAAACACTGTTCTACAGAGTGCTGCAGTTAGATCTTAAACCAGTACACCACTTCAATCTGACAAATTAGAGAATAATATGGAATGTCATATCCTGCATTATGAGTGCCATGCTGTTTAAATAAAATGTCATAATATGGCATTTAATACCACATTATTGTAATACATGTTCTATTTTATTAAAGACTAAGACAAGCCATTACTTAATGCAGATTGACATCTCATCTAATTTATCGAATAGCCTGTGATATAGACGAACACCAAATACAATGAAACTGTTTGTTGCTAGGAAGAAGGAAAACAAATTAGCATTCGGTGTACTAATTAGAGGAGCAGCTATTTTCTGGGTTTGTCTCTTAGCCTGGAATCGTTTTTCTAGGATATAGAAAACAGATGCTCTTTTAATTAGAAGCAGAGATTCTGAGTTTCAGCCAGCAACACC